AATTAGTTTAGAAGCACAAAAGACCCCAGAGATCCAGAGCAATCCTGAGGAGTGGGAGAATAACTTTAGAGAAATCTCCATCTGATTTTAAGTTATACCACAGAGCCATAGTAACAAAACAACAGAAACAGACACGTTGATTAACAGAATAAAGTACAGAACCCAAATATAAATGCAAACAGCTACAGTGACCCAATTAAAAATTTTTTATTTTTACATCATGTTTATGTGTGTTTTTCCTGCAGGTATATAAGTATACTCCTGTCATGCAAAGCCTGTGGAAGCCAAAAACTAGTGTATCAGATCCCCTAGAACTGGAGTTATGGACAGTTCGAAGGTAACAAGTGGATGCTGTGAACCAAACGCAGGTCAGAGCCATCTCTCCAGCCCCCAGTCACCTGATTTTGGACAAAGATGCTAAAAAGATACAACAGAGAAAAACAGATAGTCCGACAAATAATGCTAAGAAAACTGGATATCCACATGTTGAAGAATGAAGTTAGAGCCTCATCTCTCACCCTGTAGGAAAATCAACTCCACATGGATCACTGACATAATCTGAGATCTAAAACTCTAATCTCAGTAGAGGATAAAGTAGGGAAAGCAGATCAGTGTAAAGGCACCAGCGAGGGCTTCTGAAAAGGAGTTCAATCATTCAGGATATAAGGAACCACTGACAGATGGGATCTCAGGAATTAAAGCCTTTCTGCAAAGAAAACAATCATGTAAATAGCCTATAAAAAGGTGAAAATCTTTGTTAGGTATATATTTGGCAGAGGAATAATATGCAAATAAACAAAGATCTCAAAAAGATAACCAGAAATCAAAGAAGCCAGGTAATAAATGGGCTAATAAAATGTATAGTTTTCAAAAGAGGAAATACAAATGGCCAATAATTATAGGAAAAAAATGTTCAACCTCACTAGTTATCAGACAAAGGCAAAGTTAGATTAAGTCTCATCCCAGTCATGAGAGTCACTCAAAAACAATTATCGCTAGGCATGGTGGTGCACGCCTTTAATGCCAACATTTAGGAAACAGAGGCAGTCTGATCTCTGTAAGATCAAGGCCAGCCTGGTCTACACAGAGTTTCAGGCCAGCTGGGGCTACAGGGAGACCCTGTCTATTACATATATATAAATATATATGTCAATAAACATTGGCAAGGATGTGGACAAAAGGGAACCATTACACACTGTGGGTAGAAATGTAACAAGTTCAGCCACTATGGAAATCAGCACGGAGGATCCTCAAAACACTGCAGATATCATCATATATGCACATATAGACATATATGCATGTATATGCTTTTTTCTGCCACAAAGAAAAACAAAGTCATGTTATTTTCAGGAAAATGGGTACAACTGGAGATAATGTGACTAAGCAACTCAAATTGGTCTCAGAAAGGCAAATATCCTGTTTTCCCCCATTTGTGGTCCCCAGATTTTATACAGGTTCACAAGATCGTGTTTGTATACATGATACGGCAGTAGAAGCAACCCTGTGTACAAGAATAAAAGAAACTAATGAGTGCAAGGGTGGGAAGGAGGAGGGTTGTGTGTGGGGGAAAATGTTCAAAGATACTGTATATCTGTATGAAAATGTCTGTATGTAAAATAAATATAGGCAAAGGGAAAATTATATATTCTTATTCTTTTTTGTTTTTGTTTTTTTTTTCCGAGACAGAGTCTCCCTGTAGCCCCAGCTGCCCTGGAACTCACTAGGCAGATCAAACTGTTCTCAATCTCACAGAAATCTGAATGCCTCTGTCTCCCAGGTGCTGGTATTAAAGACATGCACCAAAACACCTGCTAAAAATATATATTCTTGAAAACTATGTTAAGACTGCCAATCTCTGAATTAGTTACTAGAATATAGTTTGTCAAATATTCAACTGTGCCATATATAAACTGACTGACCTGGGAAGCTCCGACTTGAGAATGTTTCCTCCAGCATCCACGGCTCCTCTCCTTGCTCCAGCTTGAAGATCACTTCTGGCTTGGTCACACAATACCCTGTTAACAGAAATAATTAAAGACATGGGCTGGCAACATAGGTATCATGGCCTCTAACACATGAGGCCACTGAACACCTCCATAGAGGAGTGAACAAAAGTATCTTCTGGGCTGGGGAGATGGCTCAGTGGGTAGAAGCACTTGTTACACAAGTGTGAGAACCTGAGTTTCCATGTTCAGAAGCTGTAGATGTGTGGCCTAAGTGTCTGGAATGCGAGCACCAATATGGGGGAGATGGGAGGCAGAGACTGGAGAATCCCTGGAAGCTTGCAGGCCAGCCTGGTACACACAACAGAGAAACAAAGAGATGCTGTCAGAAACTGGGCGGGAAAGCCAGGACAGACACCAAGGTCGTCCTCTGACGTACACACACACACACACACACACACACACACACACACACACACACACACAAATACCTTTTGATACCTAACATTAATATTTTCCAAATCTGTTTTTTTTCTGATCTTTTTGAGACAGGTCTCTCTGTAGCCCCAGCTGGCCTGAAAGTTGCTATGTAGATCAGGCTGGTATTGAACTTACAGAGATCCGCCTGCCTCTGCCTCTCAAGTGCTGGGATTAAAGGCGTGCACCACTATGCCTAGCTCCCAAATCCTAAATATCATTACACCATTAAAAAGTGCCTAGATGCCTCATAATTGAAGGTTGTTTATAGAGTAAATAGCCTTACCCACAGAGACGAGGTGACTGTAGTTCTCCAGCATCACCTTCCTGTACAGGGACCGTTGGCCAGGGTTCAGGTACTGCCACTCCTCCTCAGTGAAGTCCACAGTCACATCCTTAAAGGATACTACTCCCTGGAATTTCGGTTCCATCTGAAACAATTATAATTTGTTGTTATGAATCCCTATTGTGATTCCTGTTAAGAGTTTACCAAGCTGATTTAGAATATTTGTTTTATACTTCAGGGGAGGAAGGAAAATAATAACAGCAATATATTTCCAGTGTATTAAGGTACAAATTATTGAGGAAAGGGGAATTAGCAAGTGGTAATTTGGAACAATTATGTGTATTGGAAATTAATTTAATAAAATAATTTATATTCAAGGACCTGATAAGAAAATATCAGTATACAAACCAGTATGCTGTCATGATGAAGTGAATGTATATACAATAGAGCATAAATTAGGAGCAAAACTAGTTGTTCTGATCTTCTCACACCCAGGCTGGCCTTGATCTCATAGATAACCACCTGCCTCTGTCTCTTGAGTGCTGGGATTAAAATTGATCACCACCATGCCCAGCCCCACATCTTTTAATAGAAATTCTGAGTATCAAATGTACTCAATCCCCCAATCTAAAGAGACATATTAGCTTAATGGAACAAAAACCAGGATCCCTCTTTTGCCACATTCAAGGAACACATCTCAGCATGAAAGATGAGACACCGTCTTAGAAAGGATGGGCAAAGGTATTTCAAGCAAATGGCAGTTTACCAAACACAGTCCTGGTATCAAAGACACCAACCAGAGGCTGCGGAGATGGCTCAGAGTCCTTGCTCTGCAAGCATGGGTTCAAATCACCAGCACACAGATAAAAAGCCGACAATCCCAGCACTGGGGAGTGGAAGCAGGTGGATTCTGAGAACTTGGTGGCCAGGCAGCCTGCCTAACCCAAAGGGTGAGTTTCAGGTTCAGGGAGACCCTGTCTCAAGACTATAAAGTGGAGAGCAATAAAAGAAGATAGTCAAAGCCTGCTGTGACCACCATGTGGGCATGTACCTATATACTCATGTGTGTGTGCCACACAATAAAAGAAGGGAGGGATAGATGGGGGAAAAGGAGGCTACCAACTAGCTCATACAAAAATGACCAGCTCTCATGAAACGGATATAAGCCAAATAGCAATCAATATTTTAAAAGATAACAAAGGGAGCTCTCTTTATGACCCTGGAGTTCCTACACAAAACAACACCACAAACAAATTTAAACTTATCTAGGGATGTGCAAACTTCAGGAAACACCAATCTTTAAATATTTTAGGCTTTGCAAGTCAGGTTTCTGTCACAAGTACTCAGTTCTGACACTGGAAGTTGAGAGCTACAGTTGGTATGGCAACAGCCTATATGCCAGCTACTCAAGAGGCTGATGTAGGATCTCTAGAGACCAGGAGTTGTGGGGGCGAGGGGCAGCTTAGGCAACATGGTAAAACCCTGTATCTTTAAATAAAAAAATAAGTGAAATCTGGATAGAAGAACAACACAAAGTATTAATGCTTGGATTGTTCAGCTAAAGTAATGCTTAGAAATTTCTATCTGTAAATGTGCAGACTAAATCAGCTTTCATATTAACTCACCTTCAACCACAAAAAAGGGTCAAGACAGCCCATAACTGAAAATAATAATGGAGCAATAATAATGAAACTTAAACAATGAAAGTCAATGAAACAAAAAACTGGGTTCCCTGAAAGACCACTAAAATATGTATCTACAATTAGCTTAATTTTTAAAAGGAATGGAAACTATGTGTTAGGCACAGGACTATAATCCCATCATTTGGGAGGCTGAGGCAAGAGAGTCATGAAGCCAAGGCCAGCATGGCTTACACAGAGACCTAAAAACACAAGATGGCCGAAGCAATCCTGATCAATAAAGAACTGCTAGAGGTATTACCATGCCCGAGATTAAGTTATAGCACAGAGCTATTATGATAAAAACAGCGTGGTACTAGCATAAAAACAGTCACAATGATGAATGGAATAGAACTGAGGACATGGATGTAAGCCCATACACCTACAGCCACCTAATTATCGAGAGAGGCCAAAGACACATACTGGAGAAAAGGCAGCATCTTCAACCAATGGTGGTGGTCAAACCTGAGAGCTCCAGGAGAGAAATGAAATTAGATATGTATCTCTCACCCTGCACAGAACTCCAAATGGGATCAAGGAACTCAACATAAGGCTTAATTCCCTAAATCTGACAGATGAGAAAGTAGGAAATACACTTGAAATGACAGACACAAGAAAGGATTTTCTGAACAGGATCCCAATGGTGCATGCATTAAGAAACAAGAAATGACAAATGGGACCACAGGGAACTAAAAAGCTTCCGTACAGCAAAGAACAGAATCATTTAAGTGAAGACACAAGTCTATAGAACAGGAAAAAAATCTTTAGACGTGATACATCTGACAGAGGGTTAGTATTTAGACTATTAAAAAAAAGTAAACATCAAGAAAACAAACAACCCAATTTAAAAATGGGACATGGAAATAAACAGAGAGTGCTCAAATGATGAAATGCAAATGGCTAAGAAATAGTTTTAAAAAATTCAACAACCTTAGCCAGTAGGGAAGTGCAAATCAAAAGTACTATGATATTTCATCTTACCCCAGTCACAGCAGCTAAGACAAACAAACAAACAAACAAAATGACAATAAATGCTGGTGAGGAGACAGGAACACTGGCTAAGACAAACAAACAAACAAAATGACAATAAATGCTGGTGAGGAGACAGGAACACTCATTCACTACTGGTAGGAGCCAATTAGTGCAGCTGCCATGGAAAATCAGTGTGGAGGTTCCTCAAACAGCTAGAAATAGATCTACCTCATGATCCAGCAATATCACTCTTGGGCATAAACCCAAAGGACTCTAGATCCTACTGCAGAGACGCTTGCTCATCCTTATCCACTGCTGTTCTATTCACAATAGCCAAGAAATGGAAACAACCCAAATACCTAAAAACTTATGAATAGATAAAGAAAATATGATACATTTAGACAATGGTCTATTATTTAGCTGTGAAGAAAAATGAATAAAATTCACAGGTAAATGGATGGTGCTGGAAATAATCATCCTAACTGAGGGAACCCAGGCCCAGATAGACAAACACTCTCTCATATGCAGATGCTAGCAGTGAATCTTTAGGTATGTGTTTTTCATTAGGAATACACATAGAGGTCAGGAAACTAGTAAGGAGCCATGGGAGGGGATCTTTCAAGGGAGAGGAGAAAAAATGCAGCGATATCAAGAGGGAAAGAGAAAAATGGAACAGGAAGGGTTAAATGGAGTAGGAAATGAGGGCAGGGTAGAGGAGGGAGTACAGGGAGGGATAAGTAACAGTAAAGGCCTTTAGAAAAAGTCATATGAAAACCTGTTCTAGAAGCTTCTTAAAATATATGCATACGTAGTCAAAAAGAGTTTATATAAAGTTATCCTATAATGGGGGTACAATGTCCCTACTAGAAATAGGCTAGAAAATTAAAAAGCCCAGTGCCAGGAATGGGTTGCTACTTTTTGGGGGGGGGTCTTTTTGAGATGGGGTCTCCCTGGAACTCACTATGTAGACCAGGCTGGCTGCCTTCCAATCATTTCTGCTCCTGAAAGTAACTCTCACCCATAGTCCCATAAGTAACTTCAATAAAGCTCACTGGTTTACCAAGTTGGACTTTGGTAGTATCCTTACTTTGGTTTGCCATCGTTTCCCTATGCAGGGTGAGCAGTGTTATGGTTCAGATAGCCCCGCCCCCACACCAACAGGGTCTCACAGACTTCTCAAGCTCCTGAGAAAAGGGAACTGAGTTGATAAGCACCTTGGTCTTTGAAGTCAAGAGAAGCAGACTTTTCTCCACTGTTTGGCCACCACAGCAGGCTTCCCCTTTGATCTCTAAAGAGAGCAGGTTTTAACAGTCCCGCTCTCCCACTTCCCCCACCACAACTTTAAAAAAAAAAAACATCTTGCCACCTTCTGCAGGAAGCAGAAGCCTCCCCCTTTAAAAGACCCCAGCTCACGACCCGGGCAGATATTTTCCCTGCATGGAAGGGAATCTGTCCCATGTGTTCCTTTGCTAATAAATTTTGCTTTCTCCTGACCAACCCTATTTGTCATATGGCTACTTTTTAATCTATCAAGCAGATGTTTGCTTACTTCTCCCTAACTCATGCCTACCAAGAATTGTGTCACAAAACACTGCCCAACTATTTGGGGGGTTTTTCAGAAGTTTCGTTTAGCTCAGGCTGCCTTTGAACTCACTGTGTAAGGGAGCACTGCCTTTGAACTCACTGTGTAAGGGAAGACTGCCTTGAACTCCTGATCCTCATGCCCAGTCAGATAGAATTTGTTTTGGTTTGGTTTGACTTTAAAAATTTATGTATTTAGAGATGTGATCATACTCTGTAGCTCTGGATGGCCTTGAACTCCCTATCTTCTGCCTTAGTTAGCTTCCTGAGTGCTAAGATTTATGGGTAGACACCACCACTCTGGGCTACAGTGGTAGAAATCCTCCAGAACAAAGAAACAGAAATGCAGTGTGGTCTATGACTGAGTGCATATACAGAGTTCTGCTGTCATGACCTTGTAGCACAGAGCACCTGACCAGCATCTGTACTACCATATATGGAAGACAAAGAAAATGAACTATAAAGGGAAACTAACAAAGGAGCTAAAAACTGAGTCTTCCTTTATTCCAGGTATTCTCCATACAAAACCACAGAGCCAGGTGCTAGCACAATACACTGCTTCCTGGAGAAGAGAAATGCCTTGGTGTCTCATCTCTGCACAAGCACCTGTAACACTGCTTTACATATTTTTAAAGTACGCACAATAATACACAGAACTGCTCAACCAGCTACTTATGTTTTGAATATACAGGTAAAGTAAGATGACTAGACAAAGGATGGAAACTTGGAACCGAACTGAGACAAGAGGAGGATGCCAAGACAGAGCCTTCCAGAACACTACCAGAAGCTTAACAAAGGGTGTTTTCAAGGACAGCACAATCAGTAGGGTGACAAAGCACAAGTTCAAGGAATTCAACTACAATTTAGTCACTGGTGACTTCACTTAAATAAAGTCCAAAAATTACAAAGGAAGGAATAAAACGGGACTAAGATGATCAAAAGCATTGACCAGCGAAGCTAGCTTTTAACTGTGGACTGCACAACCTGTGCACCTTCCCTAAGATGAAATGGACATGGAAAGTTTTGTCCCATTACTTCCTCAAAAAAACACCAACACTTGTTGAATTGTGTATTTGGATGCTTTTGCTCCTAATGAGGAAGTTTAAAGGCAACAAACTACATTTATTTCAGAGGTCTTACTGAATGGTCATTCTCTGTGATTTGATAAAGTTGTCTTACAGGAAGTCTTTGGCTGCAGAGGAATCGAGCTCCATATCCAAAACAGTGCCATTCTTTCTGTCATGGCTACTGGAAACATCAGGGACACATCTGCAGCTCATGCCAGTGACTAAGGAAATAGCATCTGTATAAACTGCATATAGCAACATCCCAATCTGGCCCTGCTACTCATCTTCTGCTTCATATTTTCTGTGAAGTTTGATTTTGTTGTTGTTGTTTTGAGACAGGGTCTCCCTGCAGCCTCAGTTGGCCTGGATATTGCTATGTAGACCAGGCTGGTCTCAAACTCACAGAGCTCCACCTGCCTCTGTTTCTTGAGTGCTGGAATTAAAGGCCTGTGCCACCACACCTAGCTTGAAGTTTGATTTTTAATCTATGACTGACTTCATATTTTAATGTACTGATTCTCACAAAATCCACTGTAAGATAAAGCAGGAGATTTTGGATAAAGGAACAACTTACCTTGTTTGTTCTGTGCTGTTCTTAGAAAAATGTAGAACACTATGAAGGTATAGCTGAGTTAGAAGAAACACAAGGTCATGAAAGATCATGGGCAGCTCAATTCTTCTACTTTAAAAGGCTGCACACACTAGATAAATATCCTGTGAAAAGATGCTAATGTTGCTTTGACCCCTCAGAAGAATCATTAAGACACATTCTAAGAAATCTAATATTACTCTAACACAATAATGTAGCTCTTGAGCAAAAAGTTTGCCACTAGATAAATGTACGCACTTGCATCCACAGAATTTTAACAATTTAAGTATCTCTTGTTATTTCCAAAATCTCTAGGACAATATGGGTTAGCCAAAAAAGACTTCACTAAAACTGTTGTTTAAAAAACAACTCTGAGCCTGGTGTAGTGGCACAAGCCTTTAATCTCAGCTACACCCAAAACTGGGGCAGAAGGATGTCAAGTTCAAAGCCTGCCTGAACTAAACTGTGAATTCAGGGCTAGCCTGGGAAAATGAATGAGAGCCTGATTTAAAATAAAGCATACAAAGACGGCAGAGGACGCAGATGCAGCTGAGTGGTAAAGCACTTTTCTAGCAGGCAGGATGCCCAGGGGTCAATCCCCAGGACCACCAAGAAGTAAGTAAACACACTCTGGGATAAGCTGTCAATTTCCCTACTGTAAATTCCCTATTAGCACTTACCCTTTGATTAGTGAGTGAACTGAAAGCCATAAAAAAAGCAGTGTTCCCAGGAAAGTAGTCTGGTTAAATTAGTTTTAACTTTACTCCCAATGGGATATTTTACAAGAAATGCTTTGAATTAACTGGAAAAGCGGCAGTAGCAACATCAGGAATTCTGAATCTTGGTGTTCACCTACAAACTGTGATCATGGAAAAGTCAGTAACTTCTTCTCAGGGAGACAGGCAGCCGGACAGCACGCATCAGGATGCAGTGGGAAACATGCCTGGAGGGCCCTCCGGGCTCTGGGAAGATCTAAAGGAGAGCCCGGGGGACGGTCTGCAGGGCGGATGGTCTGAAGTAGGTGTGGCTGGCAAGCCCGCTGCACCCCCGAGCCTGGGCATCCCGGGCACAGGCAGCTCCACCTCCCGGCAGCGCCGGACCACCCGGGAGCGCCTCACAGGCTCTCACGTGCGTCCACGTCCTCCAGACAGGGCTGCAGATCCCCGGGTGCGGACACCACCTTCCAGCAGTCGCCACCCAGTCCGACGGGTCCTCCCCACCGCCGCCCCCAGCAGCTCGGGATTCCCTCCGCCCTCACCCGGCGCCGCGGAACCTCCGCTTCCCAGTCCTGCGGCGCCGACCCCAGAAGAGCGGAGGACTGCAATTCACGTCTCACCGGAGGGAAACGGAAGTCAGGCTGCAGGAGACATGCGCAGAATCCGCGGCTGGGTTGGTGGCCTCTGCCAGGAACTCGAAACTGCTTTTCCCTTGAGGCCTTGCAACAAGCTTTTGGGGTGTAGGAAGGGGGCTTTCGGTCTGGGGCATTGTAGGGAAGGTGTTGGTAGTTGGGTGAAGGCAGATACCTGGTTCCTCAGGCGGCTCCCCAAAATGGTAGACTGCAGAATTTTTTCTTGGCCAGTGTGCAATTTAGTGGCAATGCTGTTGAGGAAAGGAAAGCTGTATGTACATTTAACTTATAAACTCTTAGAAAAGGTGCTGGGGAGATGGCTCAGTGGGTAAAATGCTTGCTGTGCTAATCCCATTGTTGGGAGACAGAGATCAGAAGTCAGGGACTCACTGGATCACCAGTCCAAAGGATCGTGGGCACCTGATCAGGCACATGCACACAAACACACATACAACATATCGCACAGGCGGGAAAAAGACACTAGAAAATAGATCTCATCCATACAACAAGATTTGGGTGAGGGGAGCTGAATTCAGGTCTTCAAATATTCTGGGAAAATGCTCCACTACTGAACTGCAATGCCCTGCCCTCTATTTTTTATTATTATTATTATTTTATCATTTTAAGCTTATTAGTAAAAACTACAGCATACATAGTAGAATGAATGAAATAAAAAAGCTATTCAAAATTCATATTTCCTTGTAAGGTTACAGTGTGTTGTGGAACCATGTTTGGACACTAACATGTAATGGCCTATTGTGTATTGACAATGTGCTACATCTTGAGATAGGATTCAAAGAGCTTACAGGAAGTGTACAAGCTATATAACCCATTACTATGCCTGTTAAAGATCACTCTATTTTATAAATATTATATAATATGTTATATAGTATAAACATATGCATTTGTTTACATATGCCACATGTATACAGTACAGGCTAAGATCCACATATGAAAGAGAACATGCAATTTCTTTACTTTCTGTGGTTAGGTGACCTTTCTTAATATTACACATTTCAGGTCCATCCATTTTCCTGCTAATTTTGTGAGCTCATTTTTTTTTTAGAGCTGAATATATTCCGGTTTATATATGTACCACATTTTCATTATCCATTCATTTGTTGATGGACTAGATTTGTTTCATTTTCTTGCTACAGTGAATACAGCAGCAATAAACATGGGGGTGCAAATATCTCTATAGTAAGATACAGAGTTCTCTGGGTATATGCCTAGGAGTGAGATAGTTGGGTCACATGGTAACTCCATTTTTAATTTTTTGAGGAACCTCCAAACTGAATTCAGAATGGCTGTAGTAATTTGCACTCCCACCAGCAGTAAACATGGTTTCTTTTCCTCACATCCTCCACAAAATTTGTTCTGAATTTTTCGTGATAGCCATTTTGTCTGGGGTAAGCTGGTATTTCAAAATAGTTTAATTTTGCATTTCCCTGACAACTAGGAATGTTGAACACTTAAAATTAGTTGTTGACCATGTGTAGCTCTTTTTCTGAAAATTAGCTATTATATATTTATTAGCTCATTTGTTGACTGGTAATTTTATTTCCTTGGTATCTAATTTTTATAATTCTCTGTAAATTCTGGATATTAGCCACTTGTGTAATGTATAGCTGGTAAAGATTTTCTCTCATTCTGTAGGCTGATTGTGTGCTCCACTGATAGTTTCCTTTAACAATTCAGAAACTAATGAATTTCGTATAGCCCCATTTGTTGCTACTTGGGGCTATTTCCTGTACTATTGGTATTCTGTTCAGAAAGGTTTCATCTACTCCAATGTCCTGAAGAGCATCCCTTATATTTTTATCTAGGAGTTTCAGGGGTTCAGGTTTTAAATTATGTTCTTTGATCCTCTTCAAATTGATTTTTTAAAATGTTTATGAGTGTATTGCCTGCATGTGTGTAAGTGCAACTGTGTCATACAGTTCCCTCGGAGGTCAGAAGAGGGCATCAGATTCCCCTGGAAATGGAGTTACAGAGGGTTTTTAGCTGCCATGAAGGTGTTGGGAATTAAACCCAGATCCTCCGAAAGAGCAGCTAGTGAGTGCTCTTGACAGCTGAGCTATCCAGCCCCTTGAATTGATTTTTGTACAAGATGAAAATTGTGAATCTAATTTCATTCTTCTGCTAGTGGAAATCCAATTTGGCCAAATCATTTATTGAATGGGCTATCTTTTCCCCAATCTATGTTTTGGCCTCCTTGTGAAGAACTATGTGGGCATAGTTTTTATTATTTATTTCCAGTCTGTTCCATTTATTTTTAGGCCAATCCCAAGCATTCTTTATCACTATAGCTCTGTAGTATAATTTGAGGTCGAGTGTTGCGATGCCCCGAACTGTCTTCTTACTCTGTAGGACTGCATTAGCTATTTGTGGTCTTTTGTGTTTCCATATGAATTCTCGAATTGTTTTTTTCTAGATCTGTGAAATACAATATTGGAATTTTGATGGATGTTGCATTAAATCTGTAGATTAAATTCAGCACCACACTTGCCTTCACAATATTGATTCTGCAGACTCAGAAGGATGGAAGGCCTTTCTATTGTTTTCAAAATATTCTCTTTGACTTCCATTTTCTTGAAGTTTTAAAAAGATTTCTTCCTCTGATAGTATATTACTGGTATATAAGAAGGCTACTATTGGGAGCGGGAGAGATGGCTCAGCAGTTAAGAGCACTGGTTCATTTTGCAGAAGACCTGGGTTTGGTTCTCAGCACCCACATGGCAGGTAACAACTGTCCACAACTCCAGTTCCAGGGGATCCATGCCCTCTTCCGCTCTTCTGACGACCGTGGACATTGCATACACATGGTGCACTTACATACATGCAGGTGAAACACTCATACAGACAAAATAAAAAAAAAATCTTGAAAAATTTATTTTAAAAGGCTACTGTTTTTTATACTGATTTTGTATCCTGCAACTTTATTGTATTTACTAGATCTATGAATTTTCTAGTAGATTCTAACAGGGACTTTAAAGTATAGAATCATACCATCTGCAAATATAGTTTGACCTCTTCCTCTCCTACTTATATCCTGTTTATGTCTTTCTCCTGTTTAATTGCTGTAGCTAAGACTTCAAGCACTATATTAAAGAAGAGATGGAAGTGTGGGCATCCTTGTCTAATTCGTGATTTTAGAGGAAATATTTTCAGTCCCCTTTTATTGATTCATTTATTTTATGTGTATGAATGTTCTGTCTGAATGTATGTAAGTAAGGCCAAAGGAGGGCGTCAGATCCTCTGAACTGAAGTTACAAATGGTTAGTTGTCATAAGGGTGCTCAGAACCAAAACTGGGTCCTCTGTAAGAGCAGCCAGTGTTTTTAACTTCTGAGCCATCTCTCCAGTCCCACTGTGTCTCCTTTTAACACAATTTTGGCTCTAGGTTGGTTACATGTTGCCTTTATTATTTGAAGTATGCTCCATCTATTCCTAACCTCTCCAAACCTTTTATCATGAAGGCATGTCAAACTTTGTCAAATGCCTTTTTGTTATCAATTGAGATGATTATGTGCTTTTTGTCCTTTCATGTGTTTATACTGTATATTACATTTGTCCATTTACATATGTTGAACCAATCTACACTTTCTAGGTTGAAGGCCACTTGGTCATAATGAATGATCTTCTTAGATGTTCCTAAATTTGTTTTGAAAGTATTTTGTTGAGAATTCTTACATCTATGTTCATCAAAGAAATTGGTC